CCCCAAAACCCCAAAACCCCAAAACCCCAAAACCCCATTAAATCTCCTCTATACTGAAACAAGGGCGGTTATTTATAACCTGAAAGAGTTGTCTGAATAAGTTTCTTCTTTCCCAGACTAGCTGACTTTCCAAAATTGCTTGAAACTTGAGGAGATTCAGCCCAATCATCGAAAATACTAGGCGGAGGAGCTGCCTTTTCATTGACTGAGATTTCAAAATTGTATAAATCACTTGTGTGATCCTTTAAATACTAAATTCGTTTGCAACTGCTTACATTTAAGCTGAGGTGGTCTGTGTAATTGAAGTTGTCCCACTCCATTTCCACATCATCTTCATCATTCAAAAAATCGAGGTCTCCATGGCCTTGATCTGCTAACTCTAAAGAAGGCTTAGAAAGGACTTCTAATCACAAAATTTTATTTTTATTCCGAATTCTCGGTGAACTTGCAAGATATTTATTATAAAATGAGCCGAATCTTGAAATCTTTACTTTAAGGAATAAATTCTTGATTATGAAGGGAACCTTACTCTTCTGAAGCACCTCCTTAGCTTCCTTGGATTTATTTATACTCTAAGTACTCAAACAGAGAATGGTTTTCCTTGAGCATCTAGAAGCTTAACTGTGATTACATACTTGTTTGGTGCTGTCTAGACTAGGTCAGAGAATAAAAGAGGGGAACTTACCTTCTTCAGAGTCAAGTACATCTTGCTCTATGGTCTTAGAATTAGTAGCTTACTCTTCTCTTCTACTGATGGCTTCTTCCTATTGATTAGAAAAGATGTAATACTTGTGAATAACCCAATTTTCATCAATGTAGATTTCATCTTCATCCATTGGACTATAATTATGAAGTGTGGTGGTGTGGTGGATATATGATATGCTAAGCAAGTTGAATATTCTTCTTTCTCAGTTTAAATGATGCAAATTGAAGTGCTAATTTGAGTTAAGAAAGGTAGAAATGAATCCAGATTTGATCTTCATTTACCTTGTATTTATTCGTTAAAATAAAATTCAAAAATTCTTAATGAGCAAGGGGTTTTGGGGTTTTGGGGTTTTGGGGTTTTGGGG